ACCCTCTACGTACCAGCAGCCGAAGGAACGGACGAAATATCGCACAGCAAGTTGGAGATCGAGAGCGCCACGATCACCTTGTTGGAGGAGCTCCGCGGCAAGGCTAAATGGGGAGCGGCCCCTCAGGGGCACTTGGAGATGCCGGCGCAGACGCTATTGGACAGGGCGAAGACGAGAGAGGGAGGCAAAGGGGGCCGCAAGACGTAGCTTGGGAAGATCGCATGGCAGCACTCCGTGAGCTTATTCGGCAGAAAGAATCACAAACGCCAGCCACTTAACGGGTTGCGGTCGCCGCTCAATATCCTATGTTCGTGGAGATCGTCACGCTTTTTGAATTGGGAGTATAGGCTCCGACTTATGACGCATGGGTCTGGACAGTGGCAACTATTCTTACGACGATGCAGGTTTCCCGATAGTGTATTCTCTCCTGGATGGTTCCTGATCGGAGTTGACTTCTTGGAGTGCATTGTCTCATGTGTACTCGTTTGCACGCGGATGACCTTCGCCACCTTCGACAGCGGCTACCCCTCCTTCTACACTTTCTGGAGTATCGTCACGTACGCCGACACTGCGCGCACTCCTCATTACTTGTGCCCGTGTTTGATTGGATGGATTATTCTTATTACACGGCTGGTGGTTGTGACGAGTAGGGCGGCGGGGGCGATGCGCCCCGCGCGTAGCCCCCGCCTGCGCCGACCACTCACCCAGCTACCATTGATTGCGAGACGTCCTGAGTGAGGCGAGCTACGCCTAGCCTTTCCCGCGCCCCCCCCCCCCCTCTCACTCGTTTTTTTTCTTTCGGGCTCCTTGGGGCCCCTTCGCGGCCAAGGCCTCGCGGCCGCGGCCCCTGAGTCGGGGAGCTTCAGAAGACACCACAGGCGCTTCTGAGAGGCCCTGCGAGTTGGGTGCAGAGTGCGTGGGTCTCTGCCGCTCTCGACTTGGGACTGGCCTCTTGTCTCCCAAGAGCCCGCTGCGAAAGCCCCTCGTGTCACCTTGTCGGGCCCTCGCGGGTGCCCGCTTGCAGAAGCCACGAGCTGTGCACTCAGCCTTCTTTTGGACTACGCCAGCGGACTCTGGCTGGGTCGCCTTTTTCTCTTCATCGCATTTCCTGAAGCGCGTGCTGAGCTACTTCACGCGCTGGGAGTTCAGCACAGGACTTCCGCGTCTCCTAAGGCTCCCGGCCGAGCCCCCTGACAAGGCCGCGCTGCAATCCAGTGCGAAGCTGTTGGATGTAGTTCAGAGCCCCCTCCCACCACCCACGCCTCCTCCTTGCTAACTCGTTCCCTCGTTCTAGGATCGGAGGTCGAGGAGGGAGAGGCGAGGGGGAGGTTTAGAGGGGGGACTTGGAGCGACGAATTTGTTACCTGATTTTTGACGGGGCAGGGGGGGGCGCCTTGGACGCCCAGCCAGGCGCACCCAGTGCCTTTGGTCTCGCGCTCGTCGAGGCCCGAGGGGCATCACCCCCAGCCCAGCGAGATACTGCAAGTTGCTTCTTCCTGAATGAGTTTCTCACGAGGGATTGCACGGTGCGTGTCACCAAACACCTCCTTGGATGAGCAGCCTCACCAGGGACCGTGCGAGGCACAGCCTTGCTTCGAGCGACGGCTCGAGGCCTGCAGGTCGCAACGGACGAGACCACACGCAATGCCGAGTCATCTTCTTCTTGTTCTTCTTCTTCTTCCTCCTCCTCCTCCTCCTCCTCCTCCTCCTCCTCCTCCCACCTCCTCCTCCCGCCTCCTCCTCCCGCCTCCTCCTCCCGCCTCCCCTTCTCGTCCTCCTCCTCCTCCTCCTCCTCCTCCTTCGTCCTCCTCCTCCTTCTCCTCCCACCTCCTCGTCCTCTTCGTCCTCCTCGCCCTGCTCGTCCTCCTCGTCCGCCTGCCGTGGAGTGCGGCCGCGCTCTCCGAGGCCAGAGTGTCGTCGGAGGCGACGGTCATTCAGGGCGCAGGGCCCGCGGGGCGGGCATGGCGCGCCTTCGCCCGGGGGCTTCGCCGAAGAAATTGGAGCATCGGCGCTCCTGGATCTGTGCGCGCGTGGCTCCCCCCTTGGGCCATTCGCCCCCGCCGTCGCCCCCCGGAGAAGGGGGGGGAGGAAGACCGCCGGGGGCCCACGGCGCCCCTGGGAGGGCGGGGGGCGGCGCAGGCCACGCGTTCTCGTAGCGCCGCGGGGAGCTCCGAGACTCTATGCCTATGCGGATTCCTGTTCCTCTGACCTCCTCCTCCTCCGCCTCCGCCTCCTCCTCCGCCTCCGCCTCCACCGACTCCTCCTCTGTGTTTTGTGATGCCTCTCCTCCGCTTGTCTCTCCCTCCCTGGAGGCAGGGGTCTGTCCACAACCGCCGCCCGGGGGATCGCAGGCGCCGGGTGTGGATACGTTCGGGCCCCGGGGCTGCCAAAAGATCCGCCGCCTGGGGGATCGCGGGCGCCGGGCGTGGATACACTCAGGCCCCGGGGCTGCCAACAGATCCGTAGCCACCGCCTGCCGAGGTCCCAGCAGATCGGTCGCCCAAGCGGTGATCATGGACAAATCCCCGCCTTGCATGAAGTCGGGCACGTCCCATTACAGGAGGAAAATTCTAAGACAGTCGAAACAAATAGTATGGGAACGATGTTCGATTAGTTGTTTAAACTATTTGTGGTTATGCTTTGATTTTTTAACCTGTTTCTTCCAGCGCCCGCCTGTAGGGGCGACGTGCCCGACCTGATCCCAGGGCCTTCTGGGCAACCACGCTGCCCATTCCGTCTCTTGCCGGTCAAACGCACACGCGCACACCCACACCCGTTTTTTGTCCGTCGGCGGCTGGGCAGAGGGTGCTGGTCCAGCGACAGGGAATCTGTGGGACACGCTAGATGCAAATTGGGCCGCAATGCCCGGGATAAGAGGGGGAGGCCCTGGCGCGACGGGAAGATGCTCCCCCCAACACACACACACACACCACACCACACCACACACCACACCACAACCCAACCCAACCCAACCCAACACAACACAGCACAGTACATCACAACACAGCACAGCACAGCACAACGCAACACAACACACCACAACACAACACAACACGACACAGCACAGCACAGCACAACACAACACAACACACCACAACACAGCACCCAGCGCACATCACACAACACACAACATACAACACACAACACGCAACACACACAGCACACAACACACAGCACACAACACACAACACACAGCACACAACACACAACATACAACACACAACACACAACACACAACACACAAAACACAGCACACAACACACACACAACACACAACACGCAACACACAAACACACACACACACAATCACACACAAGCGCCTCACTCGGCATAGTTCGTTTGCGCCGGTGGTCGCAAACTGCCGAGGGACTTCGCTGAATCGTGTGAGTTGGCACCGGGTGCAGGAAAGATCGGGGGGCGCGCAGCACGGGGTGGGGCAAGGGGGTGGCCCCGGGCGAAGGAGCAGGGGCGCTTCTGAGGAGCCCTTGTGCAGCTTGCAAGAGGGGCTCGAGGAGCCTCCGAGCCGATTCCAAGCGGCCCCCCTGCCTTCTTGGAAGAGCCGCCCCTCCCGCGCCATCCCGTTCGGCGCGCCGCCACGGGGAGGCAGAGGAGGAAGCGGATAGCAACATACACACACACACGGGAGTCCAGGCCACCCAGATGGGGCGCGAGTCGATGGGGTCGGAGGATCTTGATGGATGCATTATCGATTTGGCACCGCAAGAAATATGAGGTCGGAAGATCGCAGGCTAACCAGGAACAGGACAGCAACTCACTCTCGCACAGCCTCTGGAACCGAGGCCACCCAACCGGGGCCGTAGCAGTGGGGGTCGGGGGATCGCGCCGCTTTGATGCGGGGTGGTGCAGAGCCCGCTTCTTGTTCCATCCCGACGTCGCCGAGGTATCGTCAACGCGTTGGCGTTGCGGCGCGACCCTCCGGCCCTGTCTGCTCTGGCCCTGATCGGGGGGCTCGCGTGGAGGAAAAATGCAGACGAGTGCGAAGCATGAGGACGAGGGCGAGGACGAGAACGGGGACGAGGATGAGGAGGAGTCAGTGGAAGCGGTGGTCGAGGAGCGCCCCATGCGCCCCATCATCGCTGCCACAGGAGCCTGGGGCTATCGCAGGCGTTCCGCGCGCCGCTGCTCGGATGCGGGCTCCGAAGCAGTCTTGCGGGGAGCGCCTCACGCTTTGACAGGATCTGTGGGCATCAGGCTTGCTCAGCGCTGTCGTGTGTGGGTTATACGGTGGGGGCGTTGGTTAAGGAATGCGCCCAGGAGGCTGCAGACTCTGGAGGATTCCTTATTTGATGAGAGCGGCGGTGATGTCCATGACCAAGCTTCGATTAGAGTTCCAGCGGCCTCCAGACCCTGGATTCCTCATTTAAGGGTTCCTTATCCGATGCCCCACGGAAAGCACAGCCTTTCGGGGAGCGCCGTCCTCCTCCTCCTCCTCCTCCTCCTCCTCCTCCTCCTCCTCCTCCTCCTCCTCCCTCCTCCTCAGTCGGTCTTTCGGGCCACAGCTCGGGCCTCCGCCCGCCACTCGGGACGCCTCGGGCGTCACCCCCTGCAGAGCGCTCTCTCGGCGGGGGTCGCAGCTCCGGGAGCGCACTCCGAGGTAGGAGCCTCTCCAGGAGCTGGCGAGAACGCCCGAAAGCCCGCTCGTCGACTCTCTCTCTCTCTCTCTCTCTCTCTCTCTCTCTCTATATATATATATATATAGAGTGGGGGCCCATGCCAAGAGCTGCTTGCCTCCAGGGTGCCCTGGGCTGCTTGGGGCTCGATGGTGCTGCCGTGGAGGGCGTGACGTTGCCGCGCCGAACATCCATGGACGTCCTGGGCTCTCAGGCTTGGGCTTCTTGTGGGAGGGCCCCTGCGGCGCAGTCCTCCGCCGTAGACCTTCGAGGCTGGCGAGTTTCGGGGGTGCGGCCGGCGCCGTGGTCGGGCCGCGCGGCCCTCCGGCTGCCGCGGTGGGCGGCGCGGCCGGCCGGTGTCTGTCCGAGGTCTGCGGCCTCCTTCGGCGAGCTGCGGTGCTGGTCCCCGGCGGCCCCCGAGGGCGCCGCCGGAGCCCAGGAGGCGCTCCTTTAAGCGGCCGGGCGCCGAAGCGGCCGCCTCCGACGCCTCGCCGTGACGCCGTCTCGCCGCCGCCGCCACGCAGCGCCACGTGCCCCGCGCGCAGGGCTCGTGTGTGTCGGCTCCTCCGAGTCGATGCGGTTCGATTTCGATGGCTTTCCGCTTCCGATTCGGTTCGGCTTCGGATTCCGGTGCGGGCTCCGATTTCTCAGGGAGGCCTGTCTGCTCTGCCGAGTTCTGCCGGTTCGGCTCCTCCCGCCTTGGCTGCCGATTTCCGCCGATCCGATCACTTCCGATCGCCGATCCGACTTATCGATTCGATTCTGGGTTCTCCTGCGTGTGTGGGGGGGTCCAGCATCGGCGGAAGGAACATGACCATGGAGCTCGCTTTGCCGTCGCCACCGCGCGCAGTATCGCAGGCGTTCTTGGGGGTAGGTTCGCGGGCGTGAGGCGTTCAACAAAATGTGTACAGTGCCCCGTGCGAAGGCCCACATACCTCAGTGTAAACACATGTGTATATATATATATATATATATATATATACATAGAACACTGCGGCTCCACCAATAGGCGACAGGCCAGACCCGAAGCAGCCGCCACCGCGTCTCGCCATGGAGCGAATGGCTCCCGAGGGAGACGGTGCCTTGGGCTTCTTCTTCGCCGACCGTGGGCTCCCGGGGCCCTCCACGGGCCCCACGTCTGACCGAAAAGGACCCGGCACAACACGATCTATAGTGGTCTTTGGGGGGACCCCTGGGCCTCGGATCCGTTTCCCTCCGGACCCGCTCGTTCCCTTGCCGAGCGTCGCCTCGTCGCCTCGTCGCCGACGCCGCCGCCGGCGCTGCCGCCGCGCCACCGCCGCGTGCGCGCGACCGCTCGGGGCGGCGTGTGCGCGGCCACCTCCGGCAGCCAGAGGGCGTGTGGCGGCCTCCGGCACGTCCGTGGCTCCGAGGCCTCGTGGGCCGTGGGAGGGCGCGGTGCAGCGGCCTCGGGCCCTTTGGGGAGCTGGCTGCTGCCCTACTCCGGGATGCTGAACAAGCAGTGGGTGGTGGATCGCGTGGGGGGCTATCGTCGAAGGAGAAGACACGCATAAGCATGAACTTTTGGCGCTCCGCGCGGATTTCTTGGATCTGCGTTGTGGCTCCCCTGGCGGTGCCTCCAGCGCCGCCCCTGGCGCGTTCCGCGCGCCAGGGAGGGGGGTCCAGCGCAGATCCAAGAAATCCGCGCGGAGCGCCAACAGCTTAAATGTCTATGCCGTTCTTTCTTCTTCCACTATCGGGTGCTGCTAGAAGTGCCCCTGGCCCAATGCCTCCCGAGCACCCCTCACGAGGTCCACGCGGGCCCCCCATGGGAGTAGGCGTCGGGGGGCCGTCACTGGCAGCCCCAAGAGCCCCAAGAGGAAGCTGCCAACAGGCGAGGCTGGGAATGCGTCCTGCGCGTCACGGCTGCCTGGGCACTCGCTGTTGGTGCACGCACGGGAGACAGAGCTTCCACTCACCAGTCCTTGGTCTGGACGGCCCAGGGCCAGGGCCAGGGCCAGGGCATGGAAGTCAGCATCGTTTGACCGATCCCTATCCTTAAGTCGGGCGTGTCCCTCTACAGGAGGAATGTTCAAAAATGATGAAAAATAGCCTGGGGACGATTTTGTCGACCATTTTTTGGATTCTGTTTGCATCTGTTTTGACCATGCTTTAGTTTTCGCCCAAAATCCGCTTGTAGGGGGACATGCCCGCCCTATCCCTATCCCCATCCTCATCCCAGTCCCAATCCCCACCACCCTACCACCCCCAGAGTTGGGGATGTGCCCCTCCCGGGCCGGGGCCAGGGCCGGGGCGTGGAACGCATCCAGGGAGGCCAGCGGCTGGCTCTCCGGCTCGGAGCGGACGCCGGCCTTTCTTCTGCGGGGCCACGTTGGGAGGGGGTGCAGTGGGGGCCCAGGAGGAGGAGGAGGAGGAGGAGGAGGAGGAGGAGGAGGACGAGGAGGAGGAGGAGGAGGAGAAGCAGGAGGAGGAGGAGGAGGAGGAGGAGGAGGAGAAGGAGGAGCTCGCCGTCAAGAAGACGTTTCCTGAGGGAAACGGGTCCCGAGTAATTGCTTCCATGCCTTTTCTCCCATGACTGCCGCACGCAACATGAAAGACCGGCCACTGGGGAAAAAACCCGGGATCCCGGACCCGCTTCATTCGGAACCCGGTCCCTTGATTCGGAGGTGGACAGAACCCCCACCTTGACACGTCGATCAGTGAATTGTCCGTTTTCGGTCCTCAAGAGGGCGCTGCGGCCGCCATTTTCCAGGCTTGCGTCCGCCAGGTTTGGGCCCGAGGCCGTTTTCACTAAACCACGTTTTACTAACGGGGTTTCTGTCCATCCCCGATTGATGGCAAAGATCCGCGGCCAGCTTGTGTGCACCGCGCCGCGCCGACGCCTCCCCGGGCGTCGCCGACCGTCGACCCAGGGATGGTATACGGTGCCTGCCTGGTGCTGCGCCCCCCCGTGGCCGAGGAACGGTACACCCCGTCGTGTTGGCGCGGGGACCGAAAGGCAGTCCAAGCATGGCACGGTGCATGGGCGCTGTTCTCGTAACTCACCGAGCGCGTTCCGCTACTCGCAAAGTGCCTACAACGGGGACCCATGCCAAGAGACGCCGTGCTCCCCTCCAGGGTGTCCTGGGTTGCTTGGTTTCGATGGTTTTGCTGTGGAAAGCGTGACGCTCCCACCCAAAGAATCAAGGGACGCCCTGGGGTCTCAGGGTTGGGTTTCTTCTGGCAGGTTTCTTGAGGAATGGCCCCTACTGTTTTCGCAAGCGTCAGAAAAACACATGTCTGCTTCGGGGTCATTTCTCGCAGATCCCCCCCCGGCGGATCCAGGCTATTTGCGAGCAGTCACTTTGCGGGTAGTGGAACGCGCTCGGCGACACCACCAGGAGGCAGCCTCCCAGTGAGGAGGCCCACGCCCCCCCCCCGAGCGGGAGGTGGGAGGTCTCTCGAGCGTTAAGTCGGGTGTGTCCCTCGACAGGAGGAATACTCAAAAATGGTATTTTAAAAAGTGTCTGGGGACGATGTTTTGAGTATTTTCGTTGATCTTGTTTGATTAGTTTGTTTGGACTCTTTCCCATTTTCCCTCCGAAATCCGCCTGTAAGAGGACATGCCCGATCTAACTCGAGCTGGACGTGGGAGGTCTCTCAGAGCCCCGAATCATCAGCAGGGGTAACTCGGGTCAGGGCTAACTCGGGACCCTTTCTCGGGAATCCGAACCCGAGTTACACCCCGGGCCCGAGCTACCCCGGAAAACTCGGGCGCCCAGAGCCCCAAATCACCAGGGGCGCCTCGGGTCAGGGCAAACTCGGGTTCGTTGTTCGGGAATCCGAGCCCAAGTTGCCCCGGGCCCGAGCTACCCCGGATAACTCGGGCGCCCAAGTCTCTCGAGCTGGGGACGCCGCTGGGGAGCCCTCCCCGGCCCCTCGCGCGGGTGGGGGTGTTGCCGCTCTTCTCTCTCTCTCTCTCTTCGCTCCCGGGCCGGGAGGGGGGGGGGGCGGCAGCTCCTGCTCCGGCCTGAGGCACACTTCTACGGTTAAGTCGGGCCTGCCTCTCTACAGGAGGAGTATTAACAAATAGTCAAAAAGTAGTCAGGGGATGATCTTTTGATTATGTTTTGATTAGTTTGGGGGACTCTTGGACTATATCTAATGTTTCTTCCAAAATCCGACTGCAGGAGGACACGCCCGACCTAACTCTACGGTGGGGACGTTGGTTAAGGAATGCGCCCAGGAGGCCGCAGACTCTGGAGGACTCCTCATCTGATGGGGGCGGCGGTGATATCCATGGCCAAGTCTCGAGAGTGAAGTTCCACGGGCCTCCGGACCCTGGATTCCTTGTCTAAGGGTTCCTTGTCCAATGCCCCCACCGTGTCCCCAGGACTGGCATATCGCCACATCGCGACGCCGACCTTGAGGATCCTTCTTCCGTTTCTGCGGGCACATCCCTGCCAGAGTTCGTCATCGCCCTGGGCTTGCCAGCCTCAGGGGTGGGGAGGCAGCAAAGGCGCCGGCACAAGCGCCACTTCGGGTTCAGCAGGGGCTCTCGGTGCTGGACCCTTCCTCCGATCTAGACTGGGCAGCCCACTTGTGGCCGAGGCTCGCCGTGGCCAAAGCAGCTTCGTCCCTCACTCAGTCAGGCCAGCCACGACTGGGGGAGCTGTGGTCCGTACCCCCCTTGGGGGACCCATCGATTTCGACACCCCTCTCGAGAGATCGTCGAGGCGATGTGTTCCCCCAGGGGGGTATGGACCACAGCCAGCCCCCCCAGTTGTGGCCAGTCGGCCAGTGTTCCAGATGGTGGCACGATGGCTGTGAGCTCGAGGCCCGTTGCAGTGGGCGCGTGCGGCCCGGCAGGCGCGCGACCAGAAGCGGGCCCCCCCCCGGAGGGGCGGCCGCGGCGCCCGCCAGGTGCGCGTCGTGGTGGGGCCGTCGGGCACCGGCGCGGGCCTGTCCGCCGACTACTACCTCTTCGGCTCCGCCGTGTCGATCGCCGACTTCGGCGCTTACTCGCCGGACTCGTCGGGGACGACGTCGACCCTGAACTTCGAGAGCGACCCGGGCACGGAGCTGGGCCTCGGCACCTCGTACTATTTCGGTGCGGTTTGGCGTGGCTACCTGGTCATTGCCACCCCTGGCGCTTACCTTTTCTCGCTGGTCTCCGATGACGGTGGCCGGCTGCCGTGCAGTGGAAACCTATGCCAAGAAGCACCAGGGTGCCTTGGGTTTCTTGGGTTTCGAGGGTTTTCCTGTGGAAAGCGTGACGCTCCCACACCAGAAATCAATGAACGTCCTGGGGTCTCAGGTTTGGGTTTCCTGTGGAAGGTGTCTTGTGGTCGAGCTCGTACTGTACAACAGATAACCTGATTTTGATCTGGCATGCCCGGGCAGGGATGGCGGGAGGAGGAGGGTCCGCGGGAGCGGGGGACGCGCCAGGTGGATTCGCTTTCAAGACGTGCATTTGTATGTAGCACCCAGCAGTCGCGGATAAGAGTGAGGGGGCGGGCGCGGAGAAGGTCGCAGGTGGGTCGCGAGCGGGTCGCGGGCGGGTCGCGGGCGGGTCGCGGGTGGGTCGCGGGTGGGCGGTGGGTCGCGGGGTGGGTCGCAGGTGTGTCGCGGGTGGGTCGCGGACGGGTCGCGGGCGAGGACGACAACAACCAACAACAGCAACAACAACAATCCGCACCGCGGAACCCCACTTCAGCCACGCGCCCAGGGACGGTGAATGACTGTTCGGCCCCCTCACTCCTGATACGTCTATCTACATAGATATGTCTGCCTCTGTATAAGTGTATGTGTGTGTGTGTCTATGTGTGTGTGTGTGAGTGCGTGTGTGTGTGTGTGTGAATTTGTGTGCCTATGTGTGTGTGTGTGTGAGTGCGTGTGTGTCTGTGTGTGTGTGTGTGCGTGCGTGCGTGCGTGCGTGCGTGCGTGCGTGTGTGCGTGTGTGTGTCTGTCTGTGTGTGTGTGTGTGTGTGTGTGTGCGGCGCTGTCCCCCCTCAACAACGATTGGTGGTAATTATCACTAGCGCGCCCCGCTAATATCTTCGCTGAGCTGGGCCAGCCGGCCGGAAGACAAGTGTGTGTGTGTGTGTGTTTGCGCATGTGCGTGCGGCCGTCCCCTCTAGGCTGCCCCCCCTCCTGAGATGCCCACACAGCGTCGTTCCCTATGCGTGAGACCCGTGCTCCCCGCCTGCGCTGCGTGAGACCCCGTCCGCACTCTCTCGGCTTTCCCGGTTATTTGGCTATGTGCTGCGTCGCTGCGCGTGCGGCCGCGGCGCCAAGAACATGTAGTGTAGTGTAGTGTAGTGTAGCGTAGTGTAGTGTAGTGTAGTCTAGTGTAGTGTAGTGTAGTGCAGTGCAGTGCAGTGTAGTGTAGTGTAGTGTAGCGTATTGTGTAGCGTAGTTCAGTGTGGAGTGTGTAGTGTGTAGTGTGTAGTAGTGTGTAGGAAGTAGTGTGTGGTGTAGCGTGGCGTAGTGTGTAGTGTAGTGTAGCGTAGCGTAGTGTAGTGTAGTGTGTAGCGTAGCGTAGCGTAGCATAGCGTAGTGTAGCGTAGCGTAGCGTAGTGTAGTGCATAGCGAAGCATAGTGTGTTGTGTAGTGTAGCGTAGCGTAGCGTAGCGTAGTGTAGTGTAGTGTAGTGTAGTGTACGTAGTTTAGCGCAGCGTAGCGTAATTCAGTGTAGTGTAGCGTAGCGTATCGTAGCGTAGTGTAGTTCAATGTGTAGTGTGAGTGTGTGTAGTGTGAGTGTGTGTGTGTGTTTGTGTGTATGTGTGTGCGCGTGTGCGTGCGTGCGTGCGTGCGTGTGTGCGTGCGTGCGTGAGACCGTCGGGCCACTTCACAGCACTGTCTCCTGGTCGTTCCTGCTGGCCTCTGCATGTGCGTGACTGCCGTGCGCGTCCTTTTTTGCAGGCACAACCGCTTGGCGGCTGCCTCCCAGTGACAAGGCTCGGTGGTAACCTACTGCAGGCGTCAGTTACGTGCTGGCCATCCTCCTGCAACGCCTGGTGGTACTTCATCTAGGCGCGTTCCGTGTGAACTCGCTACGTTGGGTTGACCGGCTGGGAAATCAAAATGCGTGTGTGAGAGAGTGTGTGTGTGTGTGGGTGAGGCCTTCATTCTGCCTGGATGCTCAGGTAGCGCCTTATGGGTGGACGACGTTCTGGTTGTGAACAACCAGGGTTTCCATGCAGCCCTTGAAGTCATGGGCACCGTGTCCTACCTTGAAGAGGGCGACCATTACATCGAGGTCAAGTACCAGCAGGGCTTGGGCTCCTCGAACCTCGTGTTCAGCTACTCTGGGCCCGATACGGGGGAGGTGACCGTGACCGTCCCCGAGGCGGCGCTGAAGCAGCTGCCAAGCGTCGCTGGGCCCTCGCTGCAGTTTGAGTACATGAGCTCGGGCTCCTCCCCCCAGGCGGTGGCGGCCGCGGTCGTGTCGTCCGCGTCCGAGGTGGAGCTGGTCATCAATGGCTCGGGCTTCGGCAGCGCGCCAGGGGCGGTCGCCTTGGGCAGCCACCGCGACCCGACGGCCAACGTCCAGTGCACCTCCGCGTCCTGGAGCGACGCCCAGGTGCGCTGCATCGCCCAAGACGTGCCGGCCGGCCTCTGGAGCGTGCGCCTGTGGCAGCCGGCCGCGGGTTGGTCCTCCGCGGCGCCGGAGCTCTTGGACCTGGCGCCCAACGTCTCCGAGGTGGAGGTGCGGGGCACCGTGCTGCCTGCCCACGAGGGCGGCACCCTGCGCGCGGGTCTGCGGGGCGGGATCGAGCTGACTCTCCGGGGCGAGCACCTGGGGCTTGACCTGGGCCAGACCGAGGTCCTCGTCTGCGGCAGGCCGTGCCGCGTGCTGGAGGCCCGCAACAGCAGCAGCCTCCGGTGCGAGACGCCAGAGCGCAGGAGTGCGGAGCTGGCAGATCTGTACCCTGCCGCTTTCCCCGCGGAGGACTTGGCGCCCCACGCCAGCGTCTTCTACACTGATCAGGGCAGTGGCAACGAGGACGAGGTCGCCCTGGCGAACAGCACGTTCACGTCCTCGGTGGATCACGAGATCAACTTCTATTACGATTTGGGCTGGCACAACCGCGAGGACTCCCCATTAGGAGAAAGATGCGCGGAGAGGAGGGGCGGAGAAGGATGGTGCACGGCAAGGCTCATCCTCCTCCTTTCCTCCTCGTCGTCGTCGTCGTCCTCCTCCTCCTCCTCCACTGGAGCGATGTAGTGAAAAGAACCGGGAAGTGGGAACCGGGAAACGGGAGCCGGGAACTGGGAACCGGGAGCCGGGAACAGGGAACCGGGAGTCGTTATATTCTCGTGAAAATGGATATTTACATGTATACCTACATATTTACATAGTATGGAGAGACAGAGAGAAAGAAGTAAGGAATACCATAAATTCAAACGGATCGAGAGAGGGAGAGAAAGAATGTAGAAACAGAGAGATGAGAGAGAGAGAGAGAGAGAGAGAGAAAGAAACACATCGGAACAAGGAATCGTGAACCCGGAACCGGGAACCCGGAACCAGGAACAGGGAGCCGCGGGAACCAGGAAACGGGAACGGGGAACCGAGAACCGGGAACCAGGAATTGGGAACCGGGAGCCAGAAACAGGGAACATGGGAACGGGGAACGGGGAACCGGGAGCCGGGAACCAGGAACTGGGAACCGGGAACCGAGAACCGGGAACTGGGAACAGGGAGCCGGGAATTGGGAACGGGGAGCCCATGAAACGGGAACCGGGAGCCGGGAACCGGGAACCGAGAATTTGGAATTGGGAACCGGGAGTTGGGAACGCAGGACGTTGGACATGTGTTCGGGAATTGGGGAACCAGGGAGAGGGAGAACATATCTATTAATATACATATACACAAGACTGCAGTGGCGCTTCGCGGCATGCACCTTGGTTCTTGAAGATTGGTATGCAGGCGGAAATGGCAGGAAGGTCAAGCGGACAATTTAGCGATAACTCCTTGCTGCCTTTTCTGGCATCGCCATTCTAGTAATGTTGAATGTCATCCTTCCTCCATGCTTGCTGTTCCTCATTCTCGCCATATCCTGAGCATTCTCCACATCCTCCTCAGCTCTTCTTGCGGAGGCTCCTCCTTGGAGAGCTTCTGGGGGCCTCACCAAAGTTCTCAGGCTTTCTTAAAGCCTTCTCGAGGCCTCCTGGGCGTGTTCTGGGGGCCTCTGGGGCTTCCTAAGGCTAACCTGCCTCTAACCGCGGTCTCCCTGAACGCCCTGGTCACGATTTGGAATGCTTCGGAGGGCCATCTTGGGCCGCCATGGGGCTCTCTTAGGGCCATTTTGGACCCCTGTTGAGCCGTTTTGGGGTTCTCTTGGACTGCCTGGAAACCCTTTCGGATGGTTGTGGGGCGATTTTGGAGCCTCCCAGGCGACTTCGGACGCCCAGAAGACCGCTGTCTTGGAGCGTCGGGAAGCCGAAAAGAGGAGAACCCCAAATTCACCGAAAACCTACATTCAATCAATCATTTTTCCCTCTTGGGGCCTTCTTGGGGGTGCTCTTGGAGGCCTCTTGGTATGTTTTGGAGCGATTTTTCGGGGTATGACGGCTTCTTGGAGCGCTCTTGTGCTGTCTTGGGGTTCTCTGGGACGTGTCCGATGACCCCCCTGATCGCCGTAGGTGTGCTTCGAAGGCTTGGCAAAACACCCTGCGAGGCCCTGGGGGCCGCTTCGAGGCCCGTCCGAAGGGTCCCACAGCCCCAGATCCCTGGAGTCCGGTTTGGGGGGGGGGGACCGGTTTTCCCCCCGCCCAGGCTTGTAAAAATATAGGAAGAGGAATATATAGATACAGATCACAGAGAAAAACCCAATCAGTGGATGGTTCCCAGACATCATCGCGTCGTGAAAAATCAGGACAGCGGGTTGTCGGCCGTTTTCGGCCTTCCCTCGCCGGGCCTCGGGACCGTCGAAAAACGACTCAGGATGAAAAACCGGTCCCGGGGAAAGGGTCGGGAATTTCGGGGGCGGAAAAGAGGGGGGTGATGACAGGGGGGGGGGTGGATATCATGGCGCGGGCCATGATTTTTCCTCAGATTTCATGGCGCCTCTTCTGATTTCATTACGGCCCTGGCCCCCCCGCTGGGCCGCGCACATGCCGCCGGTCATGGTTTGCACCCCCCCCCCTTGGACACCCCCCTCATCGCTCCCGAGAATTCCGGGGACGCCGGCCTGAAAAATATCAGGACATCGCATGTCTGGTTTTCGCTGAGGAGGTCGACCGGGAACCCGGGAGCCCGGGAACTAGCACCGAAATCGGCCCGGAACCACTCACCGGGAACTAACCCGGAACCGGGAACCCGGGAATCCCGCCTGCCATCAAAACCGGCGGGGAACTTTCGCCAAATCTTTCAATTTCTGCTAGGACCCCTTCAGTGCAAGTCCTGATTGGGGAACCGATGTGTACATGCACACACATATATATATATATGTCTACGTGTGTACACAGACATATATACGTGTGTATACAGATGTTGCTGTTCATATGTGTATGATATGTTGAATTCCTGTTTACCTATATGAATGTATATATAGGAATTAAAAGGGCTGTAGGTTCGTACATCTGTACAGAGAGGCAGAGAGAGAGAGTGATATCTAAGTCTGTCCTCAGATATCTCAATACGTTTTTACTTCATCTATACAAATGTATGCATACGTAGGTGTCTGCGTATGTCTTATTTGTATATACAGATGCATATGTATATGCATGTATACTGTTGTAGAGGAGGAAGGAGGTACAGAGACAGAGTGAAGGACTGGTACAGATAGTTGCAGAGTTGCACAGTTCCGCATGTACATGTACACGTGTACCGTGCCAGACTCAGCTCATTGTATGTGTTTTCGCAGCCAGTCATTTAACCATAAATGTACGCAGAGAACCTTGTATGCAGTATTACTACATATACATAGGCACTTGTGTCTATACGTATGCTTATATGGATTCATCCTTCATATCGTGTAGCTAGATACACAGAGAGGGCGGCACCCATCAAACATAATTGCTTACACACATATATATACATATAGATAATGAACCACTAAACATGTTGGTATACAGAGGAACGCGAGAGACCGATACACGCTTATATTTATAAGCAGACAGAACATGAATGCGAATCTGTACATACATAGATGTACACATTACTATACGTGTGTACGTCCCCTCACAGAAAGGTACACACACTTGAAATACACAGGTATGGCTATGTAAATGAATGCATCTATATATATAGAGAGAGAGAGCGCAGAGAGAGAGGGGTAGGGAGTGAAAGAGAGAGAGAGAGAGAGAGACAGGCATAGAGAGTAAGGACAAGAGAGGGGGTGCAGCCCGTGCAGATACAGGTATCTATATACAGCTCATTCGATTCGCTGTAAATAGATACATATATGTGTATGGAGAGAGAGAGAGAGAGAGAGAGAGAGAGAGAGAGATGGGGGGGAGAGAAAGAGAGAAAGAGAGAGACAAGTAAGGAACAACAGCGGAGCAAAATGAGTGAGAGAGGGAGAAAGAGAGGAAATATCAGTAGAGAGAGAGGAAAGACAGAGAGAGATATATATATATATAGAGAGAGAGAGAGAGAGAGAGAGAGAGAGAACAAGGGAGAGAGAGGGAGAGGCCAGGAACCGAGAGCTCGGTTACTCGGGAAGCGGGAACCGCGGGGACCCCGAATAAGGAGCCGGGATCGATCCCGGTTCCTTATTCCGGTTCCCGCGGGGACTCCCGCTTCCCAATTACCGGATCCGGGAATTGGGAACCGGGAGCCTGGAACATGGATCTGGGAACCGGAACCCGGGAATCCGGAGCCGGCTTTGGGAACAAGCGGGGAACCGGGAACCTTTGAACTGCAGTACCGGGAACCAGAACCCGGGCACCGGGAACAGGCGGGAACCGGGAACTGGGATTCGCAAACCAGGACCCCGGAACTGGGAACTGGGAATATTACATGTTTCAGGATTTTCTTAAGATGTGATTCATGCCTCGTGAAATCTTTACGATGCGTTAGCGTTGTGCCGAACATCGTTAACACGAACGTCAGAGTGAGTGGGCGGAACGGTCTTACACCTTTGCTGGGTGCGTGGCTGAAGTGACGTTTTGCTGTGTGGATTATTGTTATTCTTGTTGTTGTTATTGTCGTCCTGCCAGCGACCCGCAGCGACCCACCTCGCGTCCCGTCCCGCGACCCCCCCCTGGCGACCCGCAATATGTAAGGGCGTTTCGAAAATGAAAGCCAGCGTTTGGAAAAGAGCCAGCGTCCCGAAAACCGAATGGCATCTGACAAATGAGCCACTGTGACGATGATGAACGTGATCGTGATGATGATGTCGATGGTTTGCCTGGTGTTGCTAATTCTGGGGGGTCACAAGCGGGTGTTCCTAATTATGGAACGGCGGCTCTGATAGGAGACATGGCATAGCATATAATGAGAGGCGCATGGTTTTCGAGACGTTTGATATCGACCAGGTTGTTGCGAGCACGTGGTTGAAACAAAGGAACGGATTTCGGAGACGGGACAGATCTCGCGGATTGCGATTCAATGTGAAGCATTGCGTGAGCTGTGTAACGGCTCGAGAACCCGTTCGAACTCTGCGAGGGCCCCATCCCCTTCCATACCACAGCGGAAGCTGGGAACCGGGAGCCATGGGAACTGGGAGCTGGGAGCTTGGAACCAGGAGCCGGGAACCAGGAAAAGGGAAAAGGGCACCTGGAGCTGGCAGCTGCAGTGGGAGGAACCCGCCGCGGAGCGGGGAACCAGGACCTGGGACCCTGGAGCCGGGAACAGGGAACCATGAATTGGGAACCGGGAGCCGGGAATTGGGAATCCCCCCGGAGCCGGGAACCCGGACCCAGGACCCGAGAACGGGGAACCAGGAGCTGGGAACCGGGAACCGGGATCTCGTTGACTAAAAGACTTTATTTCTTTTCTCTTTCTGCTGCTCCTCCTCTTCGGTCCTTTTCCTTATAGGTAACTCTTCCCTGTCACACCGCCAGACGTGCAGTCAGGGCGGGCCAGGCGTTTCCCATGTATGATCACCAATTTGCAACAGTTTCGCGGATGAAGAGCGAGTCCTTTACACACAATGTGGCTCTAGATTTAGTGCCGCGCACATTCGTCATACGAGCTTGCAGCAGGTTCGAGGATGGGCGGCGAGTCGTTTTCAGATTGTGGCCCTCGCTTAGGGGCCGCGCGCATTCATCATACAAGCTTCTAGCAGTTTCACGGATGGAGGGTGGGTGGTTTCCAAATGTGGTTCTCGCTTTAGCGCCGCGCACGTTCGTTTTGAAAATTTGAAACCGCTTCACGGATGGAGGGAGCGTGGCTTTCACATTGTTTGTTCTCGCTTCAGTGCCGCGCACATTCGTCATACAAATTTGCAACAGCTTCACGGATAGAGGAGGGCCGCAGTTCAAATTTTGGTTGTCGCCTTCGCGCCGCGCGCATTTGTTTTCGTAAAATTGCAAAGCCTGCGCGGATGATGGCGGGTTCCTTTTCAACATGTGGTTCTCGTTTCAGCGCCGCGCACATTCGTCATACAAGGTTGCATGAGCTGCGTGAGTTTCATGGATGGGAGGCGGGTCGTTTTCATGTTTTCAGTCTTTCGCCTTAGCGCCGCGTATAGCGCTTTTTGTTGCAAGAGCTTCACGGATGGAGGCGGGTTCCTTTTCCACATGTGGTTCTCGCTTCAGCGCCGCCTGCATTTGTCGCATCAGTTTGCAGCATTTTCACATGTTGATACGGTTGAAGTCTCAATAATGATATTCTGGTAACACTGAATATTATCAGGACGCAACAACTACGTCAATTTCTGGAGTAGACGTCCCAGGAATTCGTTTTCTGGTACAAGTAAGGAATGCCTGGACACACCACTCACGTTGGTTTGCGGCGATTATAAGTCTAAGGAATCTTAGTTTGGCATGATTGTGGATGCGGGTGTTTTCCAATGGGGCATTCAGGGATCGTGGAGGGTTTATTCTGACATCGCTGGCGCGTCTGAGGTTCGCACTCGTCCTTCATCCCGCTTCCTTGTAATCATTCCCCGTATCGCACCCCGAGGCCGGTCGAAGGGGCGGGCCGAGCGTTTCGCCTGAGACCCCTTGACCGCTCATGTTCTTGATTCTTAAATTTGCAGCGGATGGAGGGCGGGTACTTGTTGAAATGTGGCTCTCGCCGTAGCTCCGTGCACATTCATTTGAAACTTTCGCAAAAGCTTCACGGATGGAGGGCGGGTCGTTTTCAAAATGTCGCCTTCGTCTTAGACATTGCTGTGGTGTGCGTCTGCTTTCGAACATGTGGCTCTCGCAACAATCGGTTAATCGGTTGACAGCGCTTTCAACCGGCTTACAACAGTCGGTTTGTAACTTTTGCGCACAATCTGCTTACCACAGTTTCAAGGATTCCGATGGTCAACGTCTCAGAAATGGTGTTGTGGCACGATGTCGGATTGTCAGGGCGCAACAATTACGTTTATTCGTGGTGTTGGAATCCCAGGCATGGTATTTTGGCGCGGTTCAGGATGGTCAGCACGCAGCAGTACACGCAGCAGTAACGGTGATTCGGGGCGTCCCACGAGTGACGTTTGGGCGCAGTTTGGGATTTTCATGTGGTTATATTCCAGCGGGGCATCTTGTCAGTGAGCACGAACCCTTGTAATGGAGAGTGAAGAGGGAGCTTGGAGGGAGAGTTTGTTGCAACATCGTTGGCGTTTCTTGGGTTCACACTGGTCCCCCTCTCCCTCCTCTCCCTCCTCCTCCTCCTCCTCCGCCTCTTCCTCCTCCTCCTCCTCCTCCTCCTCCTCCTCCTCCTCATCATCATCACCTTAGCCACTTCGGCTCAGGCGCATGCCTGTCCCGTGGCCCCAGGCCAGCAAGTGCTGCCACCCCCCTCTGTCGTGGTGCGCGCGTCCCGCTCGGCATGGCTCCAATAACGGCTCCGAGCTGGGCGCCCCGCCGCGGTCCGACCGCGAGCACACGAGGGCACTCCGATTGCTCGCGTGCGTCTGGTGCCGCCTCGCCCCGCGGAGTGCGAGAACCAGCTGGCGGTCCAGCTCTTGCAGGTGTTGCCGGGGAGCTGCGTTTCGGGTGGACCCTGTAGGGTAAGCCACAGGTGTCGCCGCAGCACTTATTTAATCTGGTAGCCGCCGCCTCGCGCCTTCTCGTGGCCTCCTCCGCCGCTCGGCTTCTGGCATGGGCCAGCTGCCGCGGGAAGCGTGTAGATCGCTCACCGTCCGTGGTCCAGGGAGCCCGCGAGCCACCAGAGAACTCCTAAGGGGCAAGACAAACAAGGTGTTGCCCGGGAGCCTGACGAAGTACATCGTCGCAGGTCGCGGCCACACGCACACTCACGCCGTCTCCAACCTCTGCTCCTCCTTCCAGATCCGTCGGCCACCTCACATTGTCACCCTGCTGCGGATGAGCCTCATCAGGACGGAGGGCCGGATGAAAGTTCTGATCCGGTTGCTGGTGATGATGATGATGTTGATGATGATGCTGATGATGCTGCTGCTGATGATGATGCTGATGATGATGATGCTGATGATGATGATGATGATGGTGATGATGATGATGATGATGATGATGATGATGATGATGATGATGATGATGATGATGATGATGATGATGATGATGATGGGAATGGGTCTCGTGTGGGTGTTCTTCCACCGCCTCGATTGCTCGCTCGCCGCGGTTGTCCCTCTGTTGATGATGGTACGGCTGATGGCGGTCGGGTTGGCGCTCGTGCTTCCAAAGAGGCTCGGCGCCGCTGCCTACTGGTTCCTGATGACCTTCCCCCTGCACCTCGCACGCGCGTGTTGCTGCCGCATGTTGCCTTATCGGCTGCCTAATTTTCAATTGGGCCGTCTTCTACCTCTTCCTGCGAATTCGGATGCAGGGACCTTTTGGTAATGGAATGTTCATATTCCCCACGGCACCAAGTGTGCTGGCACCCAGACGGCGGACTCCATCCCGCCCGCCGCCCGCGCGGCCGTCCTCTGCAGCATTGCGGGCCAGATTCTGACCCTCGCCATGGGCCAGATGATGTCCGAGCTGATAGGTTCTTTCTGTTGCCTTCACCGCGCCCTCGACGCGACGGGACGGGGGGGTGGTCATCTTCCTGCTGGGGGTGAGGTTATGTATGCTGATGTGCGTGGCTCTTGCGATGACGATGGCCCCCCTCAATTCTGCCTTCAGCGCCGACCCGCGTCGATCAGCGTCTGGGAGTGGATGAGACAGCGCTGGTGTAGCGTCGGCTAGCGTCGCGTCGAGTCGCAAGAGCCGACACGACGGTGTGGGAGGCTCCAGGAGTTGCCACCAGAAGTGGGCTGCGCCCGCACAGGAGTGCTGGTTCGCCTTCGAGCTGCCGCCGTCCCAGGTGGCGCGCCTGCAGACCGTGAGCATCTTCCCCCCCACCGACCCCAACCAGCGGGAGCGCCGGCCACAGCGGCAGATTTGCACGCAAAGCTCATGAGCGATGGTCAGACACCCCGATACCGTCAACCCGCATGGAAGGGATGGGCAACCTTCCCAAGGATGCCCTTGCATCCTTGCCCCTTCGGCCGATCCTCAGCGACTTTCGCTGGCCAGCCTCGTTCGAAAAACGTCAGCATGGCCCTCCAAGGCCCTTGCATCCTTACTGCGCATCCGCATTATATGGGCTGACTGTACAAGCGATGGTCAGACACCCCGTCACCGCTACCAATCCTTCGCCGCCACGGCTCGATGCGCCACGATTTTCTGGTCAGGACGCGTCCCCGAAGAGTTCCGGGGAGCAGTGGTATCGGTACCCATCGGTCGTTGAAAGTATAACTTTTTGGGTTCCCAGATTCCAATATACTTTAAGCGCCTTCCTACTTCAATGATCGAGTGGCTTCACCTTTTCCGTCCTCCTTAGGTGGCGGACGGAACCCAATCTATTTTCAACGCCTTCCTACTTCATGTTTCTACCACCTTCTTCCGACCGAGGGGTACTTGTTTGTCGCCCCCAGGTGGGGTGAGGAATGGATCCGCACATGGGGGACGCTGGCAACGGGGATCAAGTTTGAGAACCATCGAAGATCTCTTCCTGGTCGGACACTGTGCCAGTTGAGCAGCAGCTTCTGCTTACACAGCGGCAGGATGCTGCCAGTCTGACTCTAGCATATCGGGCTATTTTTCAGATTTCAGATGGGTCAAGGCGAGGGGAGAAGAGGGAGAGATAAACACAGGGAAATAGGTCAGCGGCCCTGGTTGGAAAGGTGCGATGTTGCGATGATAATCACGCCTCTCGCATCGGGGGTGCCATCTGCGAATTTAAATGACCCAGGATCGGGAATTGCCAGAAGTGTCCCTGGCCCAAGGTGCCCCTGGGGTTTCTAGGGATGTCCCCACGGCCTCCAGAGTTCCCCTCGCGAAGCCCAAAGGTCCCCAGGGGCTCCAAAACGGAACGACAAGCTGGGGACACCTTGGACCAGTTGCACGTCTCATGACGCCCGGCTCTTATCAGCCGATAAAGCACGTGACCGAAAACAAGATGAGACCGAAAACGCGCCCCAAACTGTGACCGAAAGCGACCGAACAATGGTGACCGAAACTGAAAGTCGCACTTCCCGACCACCAATGTCGTTCCCGCTCGGGCACCGTCGGGACACATCGGGCGCAGATTTCGGTCACACTCAGGCAGATGTTTGGGCACAGGTTCGGTCACTGTCCCCCCCTGATTTGGCAGCGAGCGAGGGGGGTAATGAGAAGGAGAAGCCTTCTCAGAAGGCGGCGGGACTTCTCAGAAGGCCTCATGCTTTCTGAGAGGTTTTCTTTGCCTTCGGGGAAGGCTCAGAAAACTTCTCAGAAGGCCGGGGGACTTCCGAGCCTTCTGAAAAGGCCCGCCCCTTCTCATTTCCCCCCCCTCGCTCGCCGCCGATTGCCACTCTTGGTATGGTGTAACCGTTCCTCGGAGGAGTCAGGCTTCACCACCGATCCTCGGTAGCGTCGAAGCGATCCTGGGAGGGCCTCGTCGCCACCGCTGGGGACTTCGAACCTTCTGAGAAGACCCGCCCCTTCTCACGTCCCCCCCGCGCTCGCCGCCGAAGATTGGCTCCGAGTAGACGGGGACGGAGCTCCGCAAGTTGGTACGGTAGGTCCGCGTCGTGTCGACCAGCGGCGACCCGGCCGCCGGCATTCAGCGTTGAACGCCGCCGGCGACCCAGAATCGGTCGATGTTGAACGATCTGACGGTTTGGAAACATCGGAGGTGAACAGAACCCCCACCCTGACACGTCGATTAGTGAATTGTCTGCTTTCGGTTCTTGAGAGGGCGCCGCGGCCGTTATTTTCTAGGCTTACGCCGGCCAGGTTTGAGCCCGAGGTCGTTTTCACTAAACCACGTGTTACTGACGGGGTTCTGTCCATCCCCGAGCCGATCTTTCAAGGTTGGATTACGTCGGGCGTGTCCCTCTACATGAGGAGTACTTAAACATAGTCCAAAAATAGCCAGGGGATGATTGCTTGACTATTTTTTGTTTTGTTGGTATACTTTAAACTATGTTTCGTCCAACATCCGCCTGTAGGGTCGGGGGTGGACAGACCTACCCTGACACGTCGATTAGTGAATCGGCCGTTTTCGGTTCGCGGGAGGGCGTCGCGGCCGTCATTTTTGCGGGTTCAGGTCCGTCCGTTTCGGCCCCAGGCCGTTTTCACCAAAGGGAGGTTTGCTAAAGGGAGGTTTGTCCACCGCCTGTAGGGTTTATGTCGGGCGTGTCCCCCATACAGGGGGATTTTCGACGAAAGATAAACATATCAAAAAATGCACCCAAAATGCCAAACAATACAAACATAGTCCCAAGACAATGTTTGGATTATCTTTGGACTATTTTGCTGGTATTTTTCCTCTTTCGTTTAAAATCCCTCTGTAGGGGGACAGGCCCGACTTAACTGTAGGGGGACACGCCCGACCGAACTCGAGGCTGGACGACCCCGCCAGCACGACACCCTCGGCAGGCCGCGCACGACACCCCCGGGCAGCCCCCCAGCGGGGGAGAGGGGGTTCGGCCCGTGGCCCTCCTCCTCCTGCCCCCGGGGGAGAGCCTCCTCCTCCTCCCTCCTCCTCCCTCCTGCCTCCTCCTCCTCCGCCTTCCTCCTCCTCATTCCCCCTCCCCCTTCCTCCTCCTCCTCCTCCTCCTCCTCCTCCTCCTCCTGCTCCTTCCTCCTCCTCCTCGTCCTGCTCCTCCATCCTCCTCCTCCTCGTCCCTGCTGGCTCCTCCTCCTCCTTTCCTCCTCCTCGTCCTCCTCCTCTCCTCCTCCTCCCCCGACTCCTCCTCCTCCTTCCTCCTCCCTCCTCCTCCTGCCTCCTCCTCCTCCCCCCCTCCCCCTCCTCCTCCTCCTCCTCCTTCTCCTCCTCCTCCTCCTCCTCCCTGCTGCTGCTGCTCATCCTCCTCTCCTCTCCTCCTCCTCCTCCTCCTCCTCCCCCTCCTTCCTCCTCTCTCCTCCATCCTCCTCCTCCTCCTCCTCCTCCTTCCTCCTCCTCCTCCTCCTCCCGCCTCCTCCCCCTCCTCCTCCTTCTCCTCCTCCTCCTCCATCCTCCTCTCCTCCTCATCCTCTCGTCCTCCTCCTCCTCCTCCTCCTACTACCTCCTCCTCTCCTTCCTCCTCCTGCTGCTGCTGCTCCTCCTCCTCCTCCCCTCTTCCTCTCCTGCTCCTCCTCCTCCTCCTCCTCCTCCTCCTCCTCCTCCTCCTCCTCCTCCTCCTCCTCCTCATCCTCCTCCTCCTCCTTTCCCCCTCCCCCCCCCTCCTCCTCCCTCTCCTCCTCCTCCTCCCTCCTCCTCCTCCTCCTCCTCCTCCTCCTCTCCTCCTCCTCCTCCTCCTCCTTCTCCTCCTCCTCTCCTCCTCCCTCCCCCTCCCCCTCCTCCTCCTCCTCCTCCTCCTCCTCCTCCTGCTCCTCCTCCTCCTCCTGCTTAGCCGTTCTGGGGCGAGCCAGGTGTTCGCTCTTGCGGGTGCAATCTTCAGAGCGGCGTGCCCCCGCGGGCCGATGGCGAATGGAGTTGCAGGTGGCACGCGCGGTGCCAGCCAGGGTGGCGACCCCTGGACGTGCCGCTCGTGTGCTGCTGGCTACGCCAACATGGCATGGCGCACGGAGTGCAGGCTCTGCAAGGCGGCGAGGCCGCCACGTGGCGCTGGCACGATCGGCGATGCCATCAACAAGGCCAAGGCGAAGGCCAAGGCCAAGGGGAAGGATAAGGTCGTGGCGAAGCGCGTGCGCTTCGCCTCGGACGTGCCTGGGCCTGCCGCCGCCGCGGCCACGCCGGCGCCGTGGGCGCAGGGCGCGGCCAAGCGGGAGGCGGAGGAGCGGCCCAGCGGCAGCGGCGGCAAGGACGAGGAGGTTCGCCAGGCCCTCCTCAGCCACTTTGGCCCCAGGGAAGGCTGGTCGGCGGCCCTGGTCCTGGACTTCGGGGCACTGGTGCCTGTGGTGGACGCGCCGCCGCCAGCGAAGCCCTTGGCCGAGCTGTCGCTCCAGGCCCTCCTGGCCAGGGAGGCGAAGATCAAGGGCCAGGTCAGCCGTGCCGAGGCAGCGCTGGTGGCCGTCCAGGAGGAGCAGGCGGCCGTCGCGGTCCGCGTGGCGGAGCAGGCGGACGTCCTCCAGAAGCGGCGCGACCAGCTGGAGGAGGTGGCCGAGGCTGTGCGTGCGAGGAAGCGTGCTGACCTGGAGCAGCACAAGGGGCCGTCGCCCATGGAGGTGGGCGAGCCTGTGGAGGCCGAGGACTGCCTGGGCAAGGTGCTGCTCAAGGGCCTCGAGGGCCTCGAGGCGGAGCGGGAGCGGGTCCTCTTGCTTGGGGAGGAGGGTGGCGCCCTGCTCGCGATGGCCGCCGAGGCCCGCAGCCTCGTGGAGAAGCTCGCCGCCGCCGACGCCCGTGCTCGAGAGGCAGCGGCGGCCGAGCGGGCCCGCGCAGCTGCAGCCGCGGCCGAGCGGGCCGCCGCGGCGCAGGAGGCCGCCCCCGCGGCTGATGGCAGTGATGACGGCGCTGATGGTTCTCCTGGGGACCGCAAGCGCGTCGGCGACCTCGACCTCGGCCCCGAGCTCGCCGGGCTCGACGCCGTTTTCGACGAGGTGGGCATGGAGGACGAGCAGCAGCGCGCAGCCTGGCCCGCAGCGCTGGCCAAGCGCCAGCGGGTGGCAGGCCCCGCTTCTGGGTAGCCGCCCGCGGGCGGCGGACGTGGTGGAGCTGGTATCGGCCAACACCACTGCGTGGGGCTCGGCGCAGGCGCTGGTCGAGTGGCTGCACGACGACGTGGGGCGGCTGCCTGCGGTGCTCTGCCTCCAAGAGCATCGCCTCAAGGGCAAGCAGGCGATGGCCCGCGCGGCGGGCTGGATGCAGGCGCGCGGCTTCAGCTGGCATGGCCAGGCAGCGCTGCCGACGGGCACAAGGCCGCTGGAGAGCTCGGGCGGAGTGGCCGTGGCCACGCGGCGGCCGTCGGCGGCCGCCGCCGCGCCAGGGCTCCCTGCCCATCGGTTCCAGGTGTGTGAGGTGAACCTGGGGTTCAGGGAGCCGTGCCGCGTCATCTCGGCCTACTTCATCACGAAGATAGGCAGGGCGAAGGAGAACATCGGGCTCCTGGCAGCGCTGCGCGAGTTCGTGGGGCAGCTGGAGTCGCCGTGGGTCGTGATGGGCGACTGTAACATGGAGCCCGCGGACGTCCGTGAGTGGGCGCGCAGCGCAGGCGGTGCGCTCGTGGGCCCAGAGGAGCCGACCTGCGGCTCGAAGGTCTTCGACTTCGCGGTGGTCAGCAGGGTCCTCACGGGCTTTGTCGACGTGGCCGAGGTGCTGCTGAGGGCGCCGACGAAGGACCATGTGCCGTTCAAGGTGGTGCTCCGCGGCGTAGGGCCAGAGGCGAAGGTGCAGCGGCCGCTCTTCCCTGCCGCCTTCCCGCTGCCGCTGCCGCCGCCAGTGCGGCCAGCGCCGCTTGAGCGTGCCTTCTCGGCCTGGAGGCCTGAGGGAAGGCAGTCGCTCGAGGAGGGCTGCCAGGAGTGGTTCGAGGCGGTCGAGGCCTACCTGATCGACCTCTACGAGATCGTGCCGCCCAGCCGCTGGAAGGGGCGCGCGGGCGGCTATGCACGCAGAAGGTCGTGATGGAGGTAGCCTGGAAGCAGGACTGCAAGATGAGCGTTGGCGCTGCCTGCAGGCGCTGGATGTCGTTCGCGGCGGCATGCGCCCGCTGGCGCGCGCTGCAGGAGGCGGCGCCTGGAGGGCGCTGCTGGGCGCCGCTGCGCAAGCAGCGGGAGGTGCTGATGGCGTTCGAGCCCGAGTGGCCAGAGGATGGCCCGCTGGCAGGGCTGTCGGTGGCCCGCGTGATGAGCTTGCTCAGCTCCTCCTCGTGCCAGCTGACGGCGCAGTTCGTCCGGGAGGAGGCGAGGCGGCGCTGGAGGCTGGACAAGCAGCGGAAGGCCGCGGAGTGGCGCGCCTGGGCCCAGGCCGCTGCCACCGAGAAGGGCGGTTCGGCGGCCTACCGCTTCATCAAGCAGGTCGCGGTGGTGCCCACGGAGGTGTTCGCGGGCGTGGACGGCAGCGACGACCTGCGCATGCCCGTCGCGGGTGAGGCTGCAGTGGCGGCGCTGCTGGAGGCGTGGCAGCCGCTCTGGATCAAGCCGTCGCGTGCTGGCGGGGCAGCGCCTGAGAACTGGGACATCCAGGAGTCGGTGCTGCCGCCGCTGGAGCTCGAGGACCTCGAGCGCGTCCTGGGCACCGACCGCGAGGGGTGTGGCCTTGGGTGGGATGGGCTCCACCCGAAGCAGCTGCTGCGCCTCCCGCGGACCTACAGGCAGCGCTTCCTGGAGCCCCTCATGGCCTGGGAGCGGAAGCCTTCGCGGGAGGCGCTGTGGCAGCTGATCGTGGTGTTCATCCCCAAGGCTACTGGCGGCCAGCGGCCAATCGGCCTCACGGCCATCTGCCTGAGGGTCTGGAGCAGGTTGCGGCAGCCGCTGATGGCCCGCTGGGAGGCCTCGCTGAAGAACCCTGCCTTCTGGGGCACGTCGAAGAGCCCGTGCGAGCGCGCGGGGGCGGTGCACAACCTCCTGGCGGCCTTCGCGCGCAGCAGCGGCCTCTCGGCGGCCGCGGGCGTCACCGACCTGGCGAAGTTCTACGAGCACGTCAGCCGTGAGGAGCTGCGCGTGCAGGCGGCCGCCACGGAGTTCCCGCTCGCGCGGCTGCAGTGCCACTGCGTGTCGTGCCGCACGCAGCGCCGCGTGTCCTGGTGCGGTTCGGTCTCCAAGCCGTTCGAGGCGAACGGCACCATCGTGGCGGGCTGCAGCGGTGCGGTCGGGCTGGCCAAGTTGCTGGTGCACACCCTTTTCGTGAAGATCGTGCGGGAGAGCTTTGTGGTGCGTTTGTAGAATGTCGTTGGCGACGTGCTGCTGCAGGCGGTCGGCGGCAGGGCGCAGGTGGTGCGGCAGCTCCCCAGGGCCATGGCGGCCCTCACGGAGGGCCTGGTCGCCAAGGGGCTGGTCATCTCGCAGGCGAAGACGGGCTACCTGCCGAACAGCGAGGACCTCGGCGACGAGCTGGACGGCTGCTGGGCGCATGGGCCGCTGGCCCGCTGGACTGGCGCCCGATGCCTCGGCGGCGACGCCGCTGATGTACGTCGGAGGCGCGTGCGTGAGCAGGACGCTCGGCTTGGCCGCGCGGCGGAGGTCAGCGCGAGGGCGCGCCTGCTGCGCAGTGCAGGTGCGCAGGTGGGCCACATCCAGAGAGGCAGCCCCGCGGCCACCGCCATCTGGGGTTCCGCGGTGACGGGCCTCGCCTGTGGGAAGCTGCATGGCCTGCGGATCGCCGCCATGCGCGCGGAAGGCAGGCTGCCCATGGGCGCAAGCGTTGGCCTGCGGCTGCGGGCGATGCGCGGCGCGGCCTACCGCGACCCCTTTCGTGGTGCATGCGGTGGAGGTGGCGCGCTCCTGGGGCATGACGCTGGAGACGGGCCTGCCCAGCGCCGCGGTGGTGCAGGAATGCTGGCTGGGGGCGCAAGGCTTGCTCGACCTTCGCCGCCCCCGGGGGCAGTGCCGCGACCCTGCGCAGGCATGCGTGCTGGCGCTGAGGCGGGTCGGCATCGAGATGGTGGCATACAATGCCGTCATAGACTGGCAGGCGCGTGTCCTCTCGCTGGAGTTCTACTCTCCTGGCATGCTGGTGCAGGTGGTGCGCGAGTCGGCGATGCTGGCCTCGGACGTGCTTGCGCTGAAGCGGATGCGCGGGCCTGGAGCCTGGGCGTGGCCTGTGCACTGGAAGGGGCTGGAGCGTCTCCTCCACGCGCGCCGCCGCCCCGAGGGGCAGGCCGCCGCTGAGGCCGCTGAGGGCGCAGGCTGCCAGGAGCCCGCGCCGCCGCTGCCGCACTGGCAGGCCCGCCACAGGCGAGCGCTCGCAGCGGTCCTCGGCGGCTCCCACTGGCCGCAGGAGCGCCTCTGGAAGGAGGGCAAGGCACGCGATGGCCGATGCCGCCTCTGCGGAGGCCGTGGCACGCTGTGGCACAGGGCCTTCGAGTGCGAGGCCTGGCTGATGCTGCGGCGGGATGCGTGCTCGCAGGGGCTGCTGGAGGGGGCGCGGCTGGTGGCGCAGCGTGGGGGCGCTGCGGCGGAGCTCTTCGCGCGTGCGCTGTGCCCCGACCCAGCCCTGGCCTTCCCTGCGACGGCCGATGCCGCGCTCGCGGCCCCGCGCTGGTTTGGCGCGCCGCCTGGTTCGAAGTTCGCGGGCAGGGTCTTCGTGGACGGCAGCGCCAGGTTTCCTGCGCTGCGTGGGGCCCGCCGCGCAGGCTGGGCGGTGGTGCAGATCGGCCTCAGCGGGGAGGTCATCGGCGGGATGCACGGCATCGTCCCGCGGGCGTACGGGCCCAAGCAGGGGGCCAGGGACGGCGAGGACTACGCGTTCCACATGCTGGCCCAGTTCTGGTTGCCGTCGGCCGACGGCTCGGGCCTCGAGGTTTTCTGCGACTGCGCGGGCACGGTTGGCTTGGCGCTCTCGCAGGGCAAGGCCCTCGCGCCACTGCAGGCGCGCCGCCACCTCTGGCAGGAGTGGTGGGCTGGGCCAGGCCCGACGGCCACGGTGCGGAAGGTCAAGGCGCACAAGGAGCTCTCTGCAGCTGCCACCTGGGAGGGCGAGCTCCAGATCAGGGGCAACAGGGCAGCCGACCTGTGGGCCAAGCGAGGCGCGGCTCTGTGGCCGATCGACGAGGAGCTGGTCTGGTTCCTCCAGGCGCGCGCCTGGCGCGTGGAGGAGCTCGGGCGCTGGGTTGGCGAGCTGGCCGCCACCACGGTGGACCGCGAGCAGCTGGACTCGGACGGGGTCGTGGGCACGGCCGACCTCGTCTACGACATCCCGCAGGAGGCGCTGGGCGCGGCGGAGCAGGCCGACGCGGAGGTGGCGGCGCTGGCGCTCGAGGCCGACCTCGAGCTCGGCCAGGCGCCTGGCGCTGCTGCTGGGGCTGCTGCGAGAGAGGAGCACGGCCAGGCGCCCGCCGCTGCCGCTGGGGCCGCGGCCGCCGAGCTGGCGGAGGCGGCGGTGGCCGCTCCCGAGCTGAAGGCCGCGATTGCAGGAGCTGGAGTGGCGCGGGAGGTGCGCGGGCACTGCATCGTCGTCTCGCGCCTCGAGAACGGGGGCGGGGCTGTGGCCTGGTGCATGATGTGCGGGTGCCGATTCTGGAAGCGGTCCCCACCTGCTGGGACAGGCCTGCTGGGCAGCTGCAAGGGACGGCCAGGCCCTGGCGAGAGGGCGGCGGAGGCGCGGCGGCTCCTGATGCGCCTCCAGGAGCCCAAGAGCAAGGCCAGGCTCTTGGCTCCGCAGCCGCCCACGCAGGAGGAGCAGGCGCGGCTCGCGGCGGTGCTCCGCGACGGCGCAGGCAGCGAGGATGGTGCAGGCGCTCCCGCTGGTGCAGGGCGGCCGCCGCGCTGGGGGCTGCGGCCCGTCGTGGCGGACGCCTGGCAGGCGGCGGAGCTCCACGGCTTCGCCTCGCCCGCCGCCGCGGCTCGCTGGGCGCGGGCCCGCGTGGCGGCGGGCAGGGAGTCGCCCTTCGGCGACTGGGGCGCGGACTGACAGCCGCGCAGACGGCACCTGGTTTAGCCCGCCGGCAGGGCGCCAGGGGGCCGAACAAAAAATTGCACAAAAATGGCCTTCTCCTCCTGCTTCTCCTCCTCCTCCTCCTCCTCCTCCTCCTCCTCCTCCTTCTCCTCCTCCTCCTCTACTCCTCCTCCTCCTCCTCCTCCTCCTCCGCCCCCCTTCCCCTCCCCTCCTCCTCCTTCTCCCCTTCCTCCTCCTCCTTCTCTCTCCTCCCCCCTCTCCTCCTCTCCTCCTCCTCCCCCTCTCCTCCTTCCTCCTCCCTCCTCCTCCTCCTCCTCCCCTCCCCTCCTTCCTCTGTCCTCCTCCTCCTCCCCCCTCCTCCTCCTCCTCCTCATCCTCCTCCTCCTCCCTCCTCCCCCCCCCACCTCCTCCTCTCTCCCTCCTCCCTCCTCTCCTTCCCCCCTCCTCCTCCTGATCCTCCTCCTCCTGGCTCTCTCCCCTCCTCCCGTCCCTCCTCGTACCTCTCCCCTTACTCCTCCTCCGCCTCCTCCTCACTCTCCTCCCCTCCTCACTCATCCTCCTCTACTCCGAGATGATGAAGACACAGATGCCAGCCGTCGACCCCCCCCCCTCACGCTCTACCCCCCGGCCCCCCCCCCCCAACACGGTCTAAACTAGCCGTTTTGTACCTCCCTCCTCCTCCTCCTCGTCCTCCTCCTCCTCCTCCTCCTCCTCCTCCTCCTCATCCTCCTCCCCCTCACCTTCCATTGCAAATAGCTTCAGGATCGAAGAACAAGAGACGCTATGAACAGAAAGTTGTACTTCTTGGGTCCGCGCTG